AAAAAAAAAAAAAAAAAAAAAAAAAAAAAAGAGAGAGCTTTTCATTTCAATCACGACAGAACAAATACAAAATAATAGAAGATTTTCTCTTGTTAATCTTTTCAGTTGTTAACCCACTGTTGTTCTCCCACTGAGAAAAATTGCTGGCAGACAACAGAAGAGACTAGGAACCACAGAATTAGCATAGCTTAATGCACACGCATCAGGTACATGCATGAGATGCGTTTTTATCAAGCTGAATTGAAAGTCACTGACAATGATAATTATGCCTTGTCTTCAGTAACATTTATAATTAAATGTTGCACACATGCATAAGTCAGATCTTGCAGGTCTTAAATGCTTACCTACCTGAAGTGCCGATCTGACTCTACTGGGACAGAATATAGAAAGTTGTATTTTAAACAAGATTAGCAGAAGCTCTGCATGCTATCATGCAAACAAATGTGCTCTTCATATTTACTAGGGTAAGCAACCCAATCTGTATCTCTAAAGCAAAGGGAATGATATATGGGCCTTTTGAAACTGTAACTGCTCAGTGAAATACATTCGGTCTCACTGGGATTTGGATTCAGATACCCAAAAGTGGAAGATGGCAGGCTCATCTACTGCTTTCAGCCTGCTTCAAGCCACTTAACCTTGTTATTGCGGTGGCTTATCAGAGCTGCAACTACAGGTTACTAACACCAGAGCCCCAGCCCATAGCACAGACTTATGTAAAACTTATTTAAAAACAGCAATTGATACATGACCCTAACCAACAGAAGACACACAAATGAATCAAAATGTGGTCCCCACTTCTGGTGATTTTGCTTGAAAAGGCAAGGCAAGAGCATGCAGGATCATCCCTGGAGCACTGGGCCATGCAATGCCATGCTACCCTAGGCTGCAACTGGGCAGCACAGAGCTCCAGTGAGAGCACGACCTGTCCGCAGCCCAGGGACAATGTCTCTCCCTGCTGCAGCCTCACAACGCTGCCTGCACACCCGGTCTCGAGATGAGGCAGAGGCTGTGGTGTTGCACTGAATATTGGAGGCAACAACCCTTGCCAGGCAGGGGTAGGTGAGAGGGGAAGGCAGGTATGTCCATCAGGCTCTGAGGGTGCTGCTGTAAGCAAAAGCAGTGGAAATGCAAGAAAGTCAAGAATGGAGCAGAAGCCATTTGCAATGAGTCACTTGAGTTATGTGGCCAATTTAAAGTCATGTAACTCAGTTAAATATTTACAGTTAAAAGCCAGGCTAGATTAGTGGTGTTTGCAAACCAAGTCAAATAATTTCAATGAATAAATAAATAAATGCATTTATAATAAAAATCTGTACATTTGCTGACATTTCTCCAGTAGAACAACCAGGCAAAATGAGTCTTTTAGTATGAAACGCAAGCAACTTTCCTGAAGACAAATATCATCTATTGAGCTTACGCAAGTCTCTCTCATCTGCATGTACAAAATCTTCCTGCTAAAGATCAAGACTCTCCAGACATCTCCCCTCCAGCCTGTGCCCCAGCTGTCTGCCTCTGACAATTCCCTGTTAATCCATGGAAGGTCACTGGGGACATGGAAATGGAGAGGCTCTTCATTATCAATCAGTTCTTCAGCAAGTGTATGGCGTTAAAGGCAGTTGCTTCCATGAAGCCAGTTCACATGGCCAAGAGGGGAAAGCAGACTGCACAATGTGAATTTGTGAACTCCACAAATCAGTTGCCCTTCCCATAAACTAAAACACTTCAATATATCTACCAGGTTTTAAATATCTGATGTCGTTGCCACACTCTATCATCTTTGAGAAGTCATGGAGACTGAGGAATCCCCAATAATGGAAGACAGGCAAATGCTCCACCTATTTTTAAAAAAGGCCAAAATGATGATTAAGGGAATTACAAGCCAATCAACGTCAGTTTGGATCCTGGGAGGCTGGGACCAAAAATAAGGAGCAAATCCTCTTGTAAGCCATTTCTGGGCACATAACAAAAAGGTATTCGGCAACCGTCAACATGGATTTACCAGAGCCAAATCATGTCTGACCAACCCAGCTGCCTGCTATGACAGAATGGCTGGACTTGTGGAGCAGTGGATGTCTTTTACGTTAAATCTAGCAAGGATTTTAACATGCTATCCCATAACATTCTCATGTCACAAAAGACAGTGGACATAAACTGAAATACAAGTGTTTCAGGGTATAAGGAGAAAAAAATTCAACATTAGGACAGTCAAGCATTGGAACAGGTTACCCAAAGAGGTTGTGCTGTCCCCATCCTTGGAGGTTTTCAAGATTCAACCAGAAAAGCCCTGAGTAACCCGGTCTGACCCCATAGTTGGCCCTGCTTTGAGCTGGAGGTTGGACTAGCAACTTCCTGAGGTACCTGCCCACCTGAATTATTTTATGATTCTATGGTTTTATGATAGTCAAGACAGCTAAAAGTGGCTTGGGTATGTGTGGTCATATCCACTGTTATGAAACTGCATCTGCAATGTAGACATACTCTAAAGGGATGTAGGAACACAAAGCTTCTGAAAGCCAATGGGACAGAGACTCCTCAGCGAAGTGTCTCCGAAACCACCAACTGTTTTTAAGAAAAGTGCCTGAGGATCCAAGTCTTCACGTTTTTCTCAAAGTAACACCTGTACTGGCAAAGATTAATCAGATTGAATGGAGATAAAGTAAGGGTGCAACCTGGCCTCCAGAGTTTTGGTTATCAATAACAATGTGCAAAAAAGAAAGACATGAGTTTGAGGGCCCAAACTGACTTTGCTGGAAAATATCTTGGGAAAACCATGCTCTTATTTGTAATTAGAGTAAATTCGATGTGGATTTAGTGAGATAAAACAGAACAGGATGTCATTATTTACAGGGTCATTTTTTGGACTGAACTACATTTTGACTTTGAAATTTACACGGGCCAGAAGGCATTTACATGGGATACCCTTCAATTCTCACATTCATTGATCTTTTACCACCTGCATCTCAAATCAGAGGTAGATACCCAATCATATCTCTCCTTTTCCATACTCCAGTTTGAAAACTCTCGTAACAACATGTAGTTAGCTATAAACTCCACCCTAGGAGAGATGACTTACAGGCAGAGCCCAGAAAGGTCCATTCTGGCACATGCAAGACCTCAAAGACTGCCACATGCTCAGAGAAGATGGGTAGAAACCAGGTCTAAACTGGTTTCTGCTCTGGCTGTCTGGGTTTCCTTAGTCACATCTATAAAAATCTTTGCGGTATCTAACAAAATGTGTATAATGACATGTATGTAAGTCACCAGCATATTGTGAGGACTATGTCATATTTGTAAAGCAGCACAATATCTTCAGATGAAAGAGGCTACAGCTGCCAAGGGGTCCTACTATTAGCTCCCTTCTGCTATTTCGGTCATGTTGGCTCCCAAGATTTTTTGAGTCTTTGTTTACTGCTGTTTGTAGCAGTTGCCATGCAGGTTTTTTGGATCTGTTTTTAATGTACCTACCAGCCAAAACCCAATGCCAGACTGTTTCCTCAGGAGCCCCATCCACAGCACTGACAGAGGGGCTGGCCCAGCCTTCTTCCCTGACATTCTCTGTGGCAGGGCTTGGACTGAAGGCTGACCATATACAAGAATAGCAGATAAATTAAGAGCAGAGGAAATGTTGCTGTCAGTATTTCTAGGCTGAATTTTTTTCCAACACCAATGTTCCTGTAGTGCAGGAAACAGTTCATGTAGGCTACTGACTTGCCAATTTTTTAATCTTAAAGTGACTGTCAGACTAATTTTGACATTTAGCCCCTTTAACTTCTTAAACAATGATTCAGTAAGAACATTATAAATCCTTAGTCTGGACCTTACTCCAATCTAGTTATAGCTTCAAATTCTTAACTCTAGCATACAAAAATGAAGTGTGTAGAAAGAAATCTTCTCGTCATATCCTTACTAGCACAAGCTTGAAGCTGGGAATCGATGTAAGGTGTGAACATGTTACTACCTTCTATTGGCAACATTCTTCAGTAGTTCTGGCCAGTGAAGTATTAACTGAGGTTTGATACTGCAGCAATGGGCACTACAGTAAAAATTGGGAGATAAATTAGAGAGGTAATTCTGCTTCCACATCACTGGCTTGTGCTCTGCCTGGCATAGACTTAAATTGTGCATGAAAAGGACCAGTCCCAGAAACACTCTCTGCTTTGCTTGCTAAACATCTGTCAGGCAAAGTACCTTCTTGAACCACTCAGCCCTGCTGCCCCAATAGAAGGAAAGAGAAGGCCGTCAGGACAAGCAAGACAGACACCAGACTGCTGCCTCCTTGGGACAGAGAAAGGCCTGTGAGGTGATGAGCCTCCAGAGAGTAAAAAGTGCCTGCTGAAGATTAAGCTCTGCTGGACTCAGCAAAAACTTTTATCCGTTTATCAGTTGCAGAAAAGAAAATTATATTTATAATGCTTCGTTCATGACAGCTGGGGGATAAATTCAATTTCTAGGAAGACTGTGGAAAATGAATGGTTTTGCGGGGAGGGTGTAGATCAGATTGCTGGTAGAATGCAAAGTGGTGGATCTAATGATGAATGGTAGGGTCTGGATTTGAATGAAGCAAAGGGTGAGTTTAAAAGGAGAACAAACAAATCAATGATGAAACGTGTCTCTGGTGTGGAATGTGTCCAATGATCCAGGGAAAGAAAGAATAGAGTGAAACCATCTCTGTTAGAAAACTTGCATATGATCTTCAACAGACCAAGGCAACTATACTTTGCTAACTTCACCACTCCTTTTCAAATCTAGCTTCAGACATCATAAAGTCTGTTAAAAAGAGTAGAATGACTTTTGGCAAGGAAAGAATCACTGCAGGACGTAGCAATTTGCTGGGATCACAGTCACATTTGCTGAATATTAGCACCACACAATTTCATACCTTCCTCTTTTATCTAGTTAAACTGATCTAAATGGAAAAACTTATTTCAAATAATGCCCCAGCCTGATGTATATTAGCATCCTAATATGAAAAAAGATAAGGGAGGAAGGTTTTGTAGCAGAAGAAACAGTGCAGTTTTATTACCTTATGAATACTACTAAAAATTGTGGTGTATTTCAGAGAATGGCATTAAGCATATATAGTAAGATAATTTAAGCAGAAATTCACCACAGACAGAGAAGCATAGTATCAGACTTATCCGCTGCTTTGCTGCTATCAGGAAAATATTTAAGGGAAGACCTTTGGAGCTAAATTAATAATTTTTAATTACTGCAGTGCTCACTTCAGTGCCACTTCTCTCTTGGCTACAGTTTTCATTGTGTATTTGCAAAAATGGTTTATGCCAGTGAAACTGAATTAATCCTACACTGCCTCCCAAAATTAAACGTGATGGACTGAGATGCTTAAAAGAGATATTTCCACCTGCTATTGGTGATTACTTTCCCTTTTCCGATTAAACGCTTGACTTGTCCAGAGTGCTGAACTAATTAAACCAGATGCAACAGCGTTCATTTCAAGCCACAAGATAGCAGCATTTATCAGGCCCATTTCTTATCCTTATTATGAATTTGTTGAGGAAGATTCCATGAGTGTGTTATATACTCAAGACCATGGGAAATGTTACCGTGCTCTTCTATAATTCTACTACTAAAAAACCCCCAACATCCAAAACAAACAAAAAAACCCCCCAAAAAACCCAGACAAACCCGCAAACCCTACTATATAATGTAGTATAGCTACAGTAAGGGATATCATGCAGTAACACGATGACTTCATTGCTTTGGCAGCAATTGTTTCATTAATAAATTATTTAATAAGCAGCTAATCACTAGTTTAAAGCTAGCATATTCTTCTTTTTCCACTGTTTACCTGGAAACATTTTTAAGCTACAGCGTATCTTTCACTGCTACCTTTTCAACACAGATACCATTTTTCTTCCAAGTTTAAGACAAAAAAAAAAATAAAAATCTAACACATTTTTTAAGTGGCTGTTAAGGTCCTTGGATACATAGCAAAGTCTCTGTTTATCCTTT